TGACCAAACACCAAAATTAAAAGGACTTGCATACCTGCCTTGAAAATTATTCAAAATTCTAGCTTTTATTTGGGAAATACAATTATTATTATTGACATTTAATTCTGTTTGACACAAGATTAAAAACAGTTAAAAATCTTCCAAGGAAGATCATTTGCCTACCTTGAAAATGAGGGTCCAAACAGTATAAACTATGCAACAAGCTAGGCTACAAAGTAAGCCAGGTGTTAGTTTTGTATTCAAACTATCTGCAACCTTGATCAATAGATACATCTAACATGTGCAGTAAAAAACTAAGATTAGACAACACCAAATAAGGACCAAATTTATCACCAATAATTCATAATTTCATATAAGAAAGAATTAGTAATTGAAGCCACTAAATTAGAAAAAAATTTAAAAAAATTAAATTTCCAGTTTATCCAAAAAGGTATCTCTGCTCAGTAGTTATTTTTTTCCTAGAGACGAGATATTTCATATTGATCACATGAACAAATAGAGTTAAAGGCAAAGGAGAAGTAGGCCAATCAAATATCAAGTTTCTGCTTTCAAGAGGTAGTATCAACTTTATAAACAAACACGATTATGTGTTCAACATGCACTAATGGAAAAGTGGCTATGAATAATGCCTATTTCATTCCTAACATCACATCTGGTATGAATGTGAATTTAACTATACTTGTTAAATTTATTTGAAACTATTCTCTATAGAAGAATTCAACAGAAGAAAAATATCACTAAAAATTTCTTTGTAAAAAAAATTGAACTTTTAATGGCCCAGTAAGCAGAGATCAAATTCTAGACTAGTCTGTTGCATTCACTTTTGTACTAATGACATTGTGAAAGGCATGAATGTGTCTCCTCTTCTGCCCCTAACTAGCAGGGTAGATTGGGTTCTTTAATGTCATGCGGTAGCCAGCGAAAGAGAAGAATTGTTCTGGATTCAAAACTTTGGGGAAAGCAACAAGAAACACCCTGCTATCTTTCCCAAGATTTTCCAAGATTTTATAACAATTCACAGATAAATAAAAAGAATATGTAAAGGGGCATAAAATAAAAATAAAAATGTTTAATAATCACCAAGGTAACTAAATCACATATCACAGACAATAGGTTTGTACTTGTAAAAATGTGTTTTTTTTTGGGGGGGGGGATAATGTAATACACTCCCTGGAAAATGTTTCGTTCAGAATTTAATATAAAAGCACCAGAATAAACCAAATTTACAAAAAGCCTCTCTTAATTATATTCAATAACAAAGCTGCAAAAATTCTACATATTGACATGCCTTAAATGTGGCAAGATAAACTTTTTCATTATTCTTTCAGGAGATCAAAAAAAGCTAAAAATAAAACAATGCAGAATATTGATAAGTGTAAAAAAAATAAATAAATAAATAAAACTATGGGTTGGTAAGTTCTTTCAAGAAAGTGAATTTATATTATTACCATTCTTCTACCCACCACTCCTGTCCAGATGGTCAGCTCTCATTTTGGATATTAGCATAAATTTAGGCAAAACAAAATGATGAAAATCAGAATTTTTTTTCTTTTTAAAATCATCCCCATGTCTCCCACAATAGCCTGCTCATAATTCTTGATCCAGCTAGATATACATTGGCAGAGATCTGGTCAGCATAGTGTTATGCTCAAATGAGGTCCAACAAGCAATCAGAAGACAAGCTGAGAGAGGTAAGAGGAACAGGAGACAAAAGCCTTCAACATGCCACATGGGTGGGAATGGCAGCAGAAGGTAGAAAGCTGGCAGAATAGTGGGGAAGCAGAAGCTAGGACTGTATAGATTTGCATCAATGAGGACAATGAGTATCTCAACAGATAAGCTCTGAAGAGGCTCTCAAATCCATCCATCCAGTGGAAGGGAATTAATTTTTAAAAATCAGACTAGATGTCATGAAATCGGCTGCACCTTTGTTCATTGGAACGTAATTAGACATAAAACCCAACCACAGATTTGTATGTCAAAAAGTCACCCAGCTGAGAAAATAAATAAAAAATAAATTTTAAAAATAGAAACATTAGTCAGAAAGATTTGATTTAAAAAAAAAAAATAAAAAAAAAAAAAAATAAAAAAAAATTGGAGAATAAAACTAATTAAAATTAAGACAAAACCAAAAAATCAGGTCATTGTATATTATTAGAAAAATTAGGGTAAATGTTGGGTCACTAGCAAAACTTGATTACTGTACTTTCACAATGACCATTAAAATTTTAGAAATATAAAACAAAAGAAATTTTTAAAAAATGTTATATTTATAAGGATTGAAAATGAAAACAAACATTGTCTAAGATGGTTTAAGATATAGGCAGAAAAAAAAAAATAATCTTTCCAAACTCATATAGATATACTTCACTATGCAATCCTAAAACATTGTCATACAACAGAAGTGTAAAAAGGAATTCTCTACAAATGCTTTTTTTTTTTTTCACAAATACAAATTTTATAACCTTTATGAAGTGGTGAAAAGATAAAAATAAGTGCATCCAAAATTTCAACAAATTTAAATCATGATTAAAAAAAAAAAAAAAAAAAAAATCAAATACAAAAATAAATCATAACATTTAAAATACAGAGAAACACAGGACAAACAAAAAATATGAACGTTATTCAGACTTTATCAAATAAATGTGACCTTGAAAGAAAGAAGTCATTCATTGAAACTTAAATTCATGAAATATATACACAGCATTAAGTTAATTCTTTTTAAGGAAATAAACACAAAGGTTGCTGTGAAAGATTTACTAATTTAAAATAAATATCAAAATAGCTAGAGAAACCTGTGAAATTAAAAAAAGAAAAAAGAAATATGTAATAAAATGAAAGTAACGAAAGTTAATTTTCTGTTAAGACCTAAGTATAGGTTTACTTTGGGAAGGGGGGGATTATTTTTTTTTTTAAATGTAGCTTTTTACCTGATTGAATAAATCAAACCATGAAGTTGCAAACAAGCAAGGGAAGTAAATCAAATGTAAAATTATTTTGCAACAGCTATTTTGCAATTCAACAAATTAAAACCAGAGTCAAATAATAATTTCACTATCTGATATTTATCTCAATTATTACATTTTAAAAATGATTTACCACTTAACTACACGTTTTTAGAATAGCAATAAATATGGGTTCTTTCTTTCATAATTCATGAGGACATTTGTTTTGTTTTTTTTCCAAAATATATTAGATGTATATAACCAAACATACTTATATCCAATTTATAAATACTACATATTTTTCTATTTTTTAAAAATTATTTAATATTGCTATTAAAATCGTTTTAAAAGTTTTGCAAATACAAATTGAATACTAAGTTACACTTTTACACAAGTTTGAACATGGGTAAAAAACTTAGAGCAAACATGTAACTAAATATATGACAAATTAAAGACTAAGGAAATAATCTGTATTTGAATGATTATTTTCATGATGATTTATAAAATAAAAACTAAATTCTTTAACAGTTTTATATCTTATTCTCTTAAAAATTTAAAGGTTCTCTCAAAATATAAACTGATTGTCTTTATTCAAACTAAATACTGTAAGTTATTTCATGAAAACATGATTGAAAAGATATATGGATAAAAATTTGATCTATTTGATAAATTTAAGAATTTGATTTGGAGATTTCAATCAATTTGAGTTGAATGTTGAATATTAAATTGTCACATTTTAGAGCAAACACCTCACATAAAATATAAATTATATATTGTTTTAAATCAGCATTTGCTATACATGAAGCACAGTTTTACAGTTTACAAAAAGCAAAGAAATATTTCCTTATAAAAAAAAATTATTTAGATGAAACTTAATATATAGGTGATTGGGAAGATCATAAGCAATTTTTAACTTTGATAAACTTTGTGTAAAATTCAATTTATAAAAGTAAATTTAAAAGCGCTCATACAAAATCATTTTTCATCACATTTATATGCTTTTGTAATTTAATTTACAACAACGTAAAAAGTACACAATCGACAAGCTTTTTAATAATGAACAGGGAGATAATTCGTGTATTACTTAATTGCATGCATCGAAAATATTTCCATAAATTATTTCCAATAATGTACCTACTTTTAAGCTTTAATTAAACGGATTAATCAGTCCCATCTTCAAAGCATAAAACAGAACAATCCTATGCAATTTGGTTCGATGCAGAGGAAATTGAATTCTAAATAGTGAAAGATTTGAAAATCCCAAAATTTCAAAATGGGTAAATGAATTTTGTTAAGATTTAAGCAATATAAAATATCCATCAATCACAATCTTTTTATGATAATCTGATAAATCCATATTTCCTCTATAACTAATGATTTTACTTCCTAACAGAAGGACTTTATACTTGGCTCAATTACTTTTAGGTGCACCATGTTACAACTAGTAAATTGTTTTATCATCTGCACTTCACTGCTACAGATTTTCTATATTTAGTAGTTTTATAATAGAAATCATTAGATATTTACTAAGCTTAGCTTGGTCTAGTACAAAGCAAGATTGGAGGAAATAAAAGTTGAAAGATTGTGTTGTGCTAGTCTCCCATGAGCGTCTAAGTGCTTGCTTTGAGAACAAGTATTTCTGGTTTTTATCAGGACTTATAGAAAATAAATTATTTCCACAACAAGGCATCATAAATAATGCATACAAACATTTGTGATAGCACAAACACTTAAGTTGATGCTTCTTAAATGGTTTACTTTTTGTTTTTCAGGTGTTTCTATTATTATGATATCATTCAACAATTGATAATGAATAAGACAGAGAAAATAATAAAAGAAACAATCCTCTAAAGCAATGTTCTGCAAATTAGACTGAATGCAGAATTAAATCAAGGTTTTTCTCCTTGTTGAATTTGCAGAGAAACTCCACAAGTCAATGTGTGAATGCACTACTAAAATAAAATTCGTATTATCAAAAAGTTGACCAACTGATGGTAAAAGTCAAGATGCTGAAGAAGGAAAAAAATCAAAATTGAAATGAAACAATTATCTTACCTGCTGAGTGCCTGTGGTAAACTTGAAATGATGGGTCCATAGCCAGCAGCATTATCATACAATTCAAACAGTGGAGCAGCCACAAGTTTGTAATTCCTGGGTACAGCAAATAACGCTTGAAGAAAAGAAAAAAAAAATTTAAATAGAACTCACTGAAATTTTGTTTAGTCTATTTAAGATTAAATAATGAAAAACTCTTTATAAATTTTATTATTTACGTTTCTAAAAAAACATAAAAAATAAATAAATACCGGGTACGATGGGTAAATTGTTGCCATTTTATCTTTTTTAATTTCATGTGCATGGTTTGTTTTTGTTAACTGCACGGTATAGTAGAGTCAGATGGGCACCATCTGTGAGAAAAAGAGCACCATGAAACAATTCACTCTGCCAGAAATTTGGAAATGGTATGCTGTACTGCTTGGCATTCACGCCAGAAGTTCCAATAAAAACATTTTGCAGTGTAGAGGATTCAGAAGGACTTGGATGAGTCTAATGCTGATTACGAAGGTACAGCAGCTCAGTAAACTCACTCTGATCATTCTGGTAAGAAAAGAACTCCCAAATTAGTTGGTGAGGGCCTCAGCCTCGACATGTAGGCCTACATCTGCTCTGGATCAAGAGGGTAGCAGCTCGAAGACCCCTATGTCTGGCAACAGGACTTTGCACTATGCCACACAAGCAGAAGAACTTAGTCATGGCTATCAGATAATTTTTGCGACCACAGCAACCTTTACATCTGGCCACCTAACTCTCCAGGCTGTAACCTACTTGATTGTTTTCTGTAGGGCACAGTTGAGTTAGAGACCAACAAAACTCCTTATAACACCAAAGATGAACTGAAGACAAGGATTATGGCAGAGCTCCCCAACTTAAACAAAGAGACCACCCATAAGAGTTGCAGGAGATTGTCAATTCGTCTGGAGGCCGTGGTTGAAGCAAATGGTGATTTTATTGAATAAATTTACTCTTTAGTAATTCAAAATCTTTTTGTGTAATTTTGGTAAATATATCAGTGTCATTTTCATTTTTGCATAATTTAGATGACAATTTACCAATCGCATCTTGTATCTAGTCTAATTCACAATATATTATTTTAAGAAATAAAACTTTAAAAATATTATAATTGAAATTAATAGAAATTATTTAAATTAAACAGTACATATTTATACTCCAAGTCATCAATGTAATTTAGCTGTGGTCAGCTTTAAATCAATTTTTAATTTCCATATCATGAATAAACAGAAAAAATAGATCAGTTTCAGTATGACTTTTTATGAAAAAACAAAAAAAACAAAACATTATGGCTAAGGTACTATCAAGTTACTGAAGTAATGTTGATTAAGTGTTAAAATAAGCGGTTCTGCAACTAACAAAACGAGCAAGTATTCTATGTGTGAACGTTATAACCAAATAACTAAAAATAAAAACATTTAAAGATAAAATTTGTTTTAATATATAATTAGTTTTTAATTTAAATTCTAAATTATTAAACAGTTTCAAGTTTTATAAAATATGACATGTATTTTAGCAATAATAAAAACATGCTTTAAGGAAAAATATAAAAGCGCTAAATAAAGAGTTATTTCCCTTGTATAACGACAGCTGCAGCGAATACAAATTTTTGTGACGTCGTTGCTCGAAGTAGACATAAACAATATTCTTGAACTTTGGCACAGTCATATTCACAGGAACTGAACTATATTGTTCTTTTGGGGTTTTTTTTGTTTTTTGTTTTACAGAGTTAAATGTTCAATGACACTAGCTATGTTGATGTCCAATGTGAAAATTCTACAGAAATCTAATTATAAGTGCATTTGTTAAAGCAAAACATATTTCCATTCCCACTTATACCATCCTTTTTGGCCTCCATAGTTTTAAATGATATGAATTCTTATTACACTTCTTTACATTAAAGGGGATTTTTAAAAAAAAAAATCTTACATTACTCAGCCAGAATATTTCTTATTAGATGACTTATGTAATACATACCAACTCAGGACTAGACAGTAAAAACTAAATTCTTTTACCATTAAATTCTGGCCATTTTCGAAATTCTACAATGTCAGCAGTAAAGAACATTGATTTTTTTTTTTTTTATCACCTAATTGAATAAAAAGTGAAGCCCAGAATTCAGTTAGTGAATACTTCAGCTAATTTCAGTCTTGAATGTTCATATAATTAAACCTAATCAAAAAAGCAAATAAAATTGTTTAAAAAATTTACCTTAAAATCAACTTACCTTTCTCAGGAAGCTGGACTAAAAAGAGCCTCTTGTGTTCCTTGGGTTTCGTAATGTGGGCTGGAACATAAGGATACTGAAAACAGAAAATAGTCACAAAAACATCACTCAAAAGCAAGTACAGTATGCTTACATTTTATTTTCAAAGACAAAACGTGTGAATCTTATATTTTATGAATTTGACATAAATTTTGATGTTACTATCTCTCCATCAAAGAGTAAACCAAGCTTCTTAAATTTCCACTTTATACTTTTTTTGGGGAGGTGCTTAAAATTAAAGTAAATTATTAGTTTATGTCAAGTTCATTTGGTTGGAAAAAAAAAAGTGCCAATACATTTTTTGTAAAAAATTTTGAAGAAACCAAAACAAAAATTATGTTATTTAAATGAAAACAGATACTTAAAATTAAACCTGGATGTTTACCATTAACACATTTTATTATTGCTTAGATGATTTCATGGAACAAACTTTATTCAGTCAAATATTTCTGTAGAAGTCTATCATTTCAACTGACATAGCAAACTAGGAGTATTGGCAACTTTGACATTGAATTTGTTAATTTCTCCAAATACCCATCTGAAATTTATCAACACAATCATACTTTATTTTAAAAAAAAGAATTTGCAATTGATTTTACAAAACCCTACCAAAAAATATCTTATAACAGCTGCTTCCTTTGTCAATGCTATTCAGGTAATTGGCCCACTTTGATACTGTATGGGGATTTATAATGTAGCATGCACACAAAAAAAAAAAATACTGAACAATTAAAGACAGATTGAAAATCAGTTTCTTCTACTTTAATTTACAGCAGAGACAGAAATTACAACATAGTTAATTATTGATCTGTAAATGTAATTCATTAATCAAAAGTATAAATTAAAACGAATTTTTCAGCATCTCTCCACACTATATTCATCTCACAAGTTCATTTAGTTTATAAAGATTTTTTTTTTTTTTTAAATCAAATATGTTCAAAGTTTAACATTTGTACAAAAAAAAAAAAAAATGGGTGCCAAAAGGGCGACTTTTCTCTTCACACCACAATTACTGCATACTAATTTTATTGTCTTTAAAAAGTTATTTTAAGAATATTAATAAAACCCAAACAAGCATAAGTGAATATTTTTTCTCAAAAACTGGCACTACTTTATTAGATTGTTTATTTACAAGAATATAGAAATATGTAGAAATATTTATTATTTACCACATTATAAATATCACTTTTTTTTATATTCATAAATTTATAAAAATGCCTGTGAAGAATAAAATTTAAATAAACACCTAAGTATGAGTAACTTTAATAATTTTTTTAAAAATATACATTTTCCAGATATTTTTCATTTGTTCTGGCCATATAAATTCACTAAAATATTTTGAAAGCATCTGGATTAAAATTTTTTTTTTCTCAAAAACTGGCAAAAATGTTAAACACTATTAGACTATATGCAAGAATAACGTTTAATATTTTTGTTGTTAATTCTCAAAACATAAATAAATAAATCCAGTTTCATATATTTGGGTTTCAGTAAATTTCTGAAAATAGTTTTGTAAAACTATCAAAATTGCCAAGGGAGTATACAATACTAGTATTAAGAGAAAAAAAAAATGTCCTTTTAAGAGACTGATTTTTTTACAGGTATAAATGTTGAACTTTGCTGAATGTTCTTTCCAAATGCAATTCATGTAATAAAGTTTACATATATTTCTTCTAAAGTTAATCAATGTCAAATCTTTTTTTATATATATATATATATATATATATATATATATATATATATATATATATATATATAAAAACAATTAAAAATTATTGAATTATACCAACAACTACTTAAAAAAAAAAAAAAAAAGCGAAATTCTTTTTAAAAATACCTGAGGAGGTTCAAAATTTGGTCTCCACCAATTCCCAATTGTATCCTCTATGACCCAGTCCATGGGAGCTCCATCTTGGCGCCCAAGTGTCTGTGAAAATTATGGAAAACAATCATAGTCATCATAAAAGGATGAGCAACAAAAACAGTAGAAAATTTGGTTAAAAAGATTAGGTAAAAATGAATTTGTGATCTGCAGGTTATAGGAAAAAATAGTTATATTAAAGAAGGAAAAGGAAAAAATTTGAAAATGTTACAGCAAGAAAAAGATTTTATGTTTAGATGATTTATAAGCAAGGAAGACATCTTAAAAAAAAAAAAAAAAAATGAAAACCAAGTGAGATCTAGGTTTTGTTTGCCAATCTGATACAAACCATATAACAGAAAAACAAAGTAGTAATAGTAATACTTATCCTGCTATCAGTACAAAGATAGTGAAAAGCAGTTTCGAACTAAAACCAGCAATTGTTAAATACATTCTTACTGCCCTTAAAAAGAAAATTTAAGTATTTTAAAAGAATACCTTTTTCTAACATCTTCACTTAACTAGTTTCTATCTTTAAACAACAACACTTCAGGAAGAGTTATATAAAGTTGTCAAAATAACAGTGAAACCAATTTCATAGATCATTAGACCACAATAAATGAAGTTACTTTTACTTAGTAGCAAAAATGAGAATATATTACACATCATTATTCAAAAAAAACAGTAAGATAACTTAGATTTATACAAGGCAAGACTACTATCCAGAATTACACAATTTCCAGTCCCTCACCATTCAAAGAAAGATAATGATAATTAGATTATATTTAACAAACAAGTCAAACATTTGTAAGCCCAAACAAGACTACAGAAAATTTTAAATTGAATTCATGATTGTAAACTTTTTATTGTATTTTTCAAGCAAATATTTTGAAAGAGAGAACAAAAAAAAACTATATAATAGGCTGGTACAGATTTAAAAAAAAAAAAAAAAAAAAAGATGAATTTTGATACAACCATTTTGCCCATCAGATCATATATTTTTATTTAAGCTTAAAAAAAGGAAAAAAAATTCAAAATTAAAGTATACAGATAAGTGAGAGAAAACAATCCTGAATGCCAATAAAAATGTTGGTTAATAATTACAATGATGTCAGTTTCCATTAAAAATCATGGGAAGACAATGAACAAAATTTAGATATGATTCATTCCTATCTTTGCCCAAGTCTAATATAAAATTTACCATTTGTACATCTGCTAGCAAAAACAAAACCAACAGTATCAATGGACATTTCATTTAGAACTAAGATATAGAATCAGAAATAAATTTCTTTTTAATATAACATTTTTATCTTCCATTAACAAAGTAATAAAAAGATACAAAGTATCATTAAGGTGAGAGTTAAATTTAATGAGATGAATAAAAACAATACTGTGAGCCTAAGTAATTAGTAGTGTAAAAAGAATGCATGACAGACATACAAGTGATTTTTATCATTCTCTCTTAAAACAACCAATTAAATCAAATGAAACTGACTAACATAGAGTGATTACAATGCTGGAAGAAATTTTAAATTTGACAGCATCAAGTACCCTTGCTAATTATCTATGAATTACTTCAATTTAGTCCACTCTACAAAATAAAAATTGTTACAATAACAAGCATGAAACTTACTTTTATCAATCCCCATATTAAAAAAAAAAGCACCATAGAAAAAATGTATAGAAAGTGAGACATATCAAAACTTTATGTGACTGTAATAAGGCTTAAACTTGGTAATTAAAATATTTCAGAGACACTTGCCAGTGATGGTTAAGAAGCTAAGACTCGTAAGTTATTACTAGTAAGTTCAATTATCACTAAGAGCTCCATGAATAACTGTTAGTTTTAGATAAATATTAACATAGTTGATTTAAAAAAAAAAAAAAAAAAAAAAAAAAAAAAAAAAGACTAATTTCCAGAATGGAGTTGGCATCAAGCTTTACCTCAAAATTAAATTCCTTCAAGAAACTTCACCTTGAGATGTGCCACAATAACTAAGTGATAACAATTTGAATGAAAGTAAAATTCTTAAGTTCCAATATAATGAAGTGCAAATGAAATTGGCAAGGAAAAAGGACCTAATCATTTTGATGACACACTATTTTTTTAACCCTCATAGATTTTTGAGAAAATAGCATCAATCAATTTTCCAAAATTATTCCCATATATAGGAGTTGAATAAAGCAATACAAATGGATCATTCTCTGATAATTTGGGGACAAAATTTGCTTAAGGCCAAGTCCTGCTGTTAGTAAATTTCATTTGAAAAGCATTAAAAGGAAAAAAAACTTGTTGCCAGAGTAAGATCTTAAGACACTAAATAGAATGAACACTTCTGAAAGTCATATATGAGGCATTGATATTATCCAATGATATTTTCAAATTCTTGGTGTTTCATTTCGATTGGCCAATTCAAATGAATGTAACATTCAGTGAACAGTTTTTAAAATTTGCTTATGACAATGTCAGTTGTGATATTATAGAGAATTTTTAAAAAAATATTCAGTGGATGCCACATTTTACTGAAGAAAGTTGGAGAAATGTCCAATCAAAATCATAAGCACCAGGATGAGGATAATAGCAAGAAATTTTTTTTTTTAATTTAAAATTATAACTGAAAGAGAAAATTTACTTTTTATAAAAAAAGATAGATAATACATATATGAAGAACAAAAGAATTGGAAAAAAAAAAAAAAAAAAAAAAAAAATTCTTTTCCAAACAAAAACATGATTTAAAAAAAAAAAAAAAAAAAAAAAATGCTTGCCACACATTTGCATGAATTTTAGTCAAACTTTGAAATATACACATTATCAAAGTTTCATGCACAAAAAAAAAAAAAAAAAAAAAAAAAATTGAGGAATACTCAGAAGATTTGAATCTAATCTATTATAAATTTTAGGTGCAATTACTATATAACGGATTGTTTATAGCTTTTAAGTGTTCCAAAATATTTTTTGTTTTTCTATATTCGTAGGGTTAAATTTTAAAATCATGATAGTAATTGGTTTCCTTTTTTCTTTTCTAAAAAAAAAAAAAAAAAAAGTAGTTTAAATCTTCTCGGGTTTATTCAGTTAACTTGAGCAATGTATGAGGGGGTACAGAAAAGTTTTCAACCCAACCCATTTCCCAAAAGCAGTATTTCAATAAATAATTGTCTGTATAAGCTATAAAATTATATCAATACCTAATATTGATTTTGAGATATGGATCAGGCAGAGAGATAATGTTTCAGCACCCCCCTTGTAAAAATAAAAGAAGCTTAAACAAAATAATCTCCTCAGAAAAGATAATTGTGTGAATAAGAGCCACTGCTGCAGTGTAATAGTTAACATGCTAATATTGAAAGCCATTGTTTTTGAGTTTATTTCACACTGGTTGCTAGTATTGTGGCTAAAAGGTAGTAAATACCTACTGAAGTGGAAAAATATAAATTTTTAGCAATTTTTGTTCTTTATAATATAAATAGATTTTTAGCATGCACACACAAAAATCATACAGTAGCAAGAAGTAATTAAATCACAAATGCTTGCTTTTTATAAAAGGCAGAAGGATGCATTGTTGTCTACATTTCTACTGATAAAATGCTTCCACCTATAAATTTATACTCAAAAGGATATGGGAAATTTACAACAGAAATATCACTAAAAATTAAATCTGACAAAATAGTTTTAAATTCAGTTTGTCAGAGTGTTAAAAGAGAAGTAAAAACAGAAGTGATGTTTCTCAACTTCAGATTATCTAATACACATAAACTTCACTCTCCAAATAGACTCAGCATAGATTTAGCTGTACAAGCTTTTAGAAATCCATAATTAGTAAATATTCAATATTAATTATAAATAAAAATTCTGTATTCTTTATTAAAAATTTTATATATATATATATATATATATATATATATATATATATACACACACACACAATAGATCATTTTTAAGCAATGTGTATTTCAGATTATATATATTATGAATAATGTAAAACATGCTCCACATTTCAGCATAGGAACAACTATGGATAATAAAATGCCACAAAAAAATAAATAAAAAATAAACATTTGGCAAACACGTTAAGACTATTTGTTGCCTTTTCTACACCTACAGGTTAATCAGGAAAAAAGATTATTTTCCTGTCAACTTTTTGTTTCAATTCTTTTACTCAAAGGACCAAAATTCTCTTTACAAAGCCAATGGGAAATGTTCCCTAGCCAATGTTAGAAACAAAATTACTTTACTATTATATATGAACAAGAACGCCTCTTTCTTGAAATTAAAAAAAACTTGTTTTATTTAAAATAACCTTTCTGCTTTAACTATTAAATAAATGGAAGATGCACATCCCCAATATAAGATGAAATAGATAAACTAGTAGCACTCAGGTTGCAAATGATGACAAGCAAATTTATATTATAAAATAAATGTACATAATAAACAGATCAACGTCATTAAAAAAAAAAAACATATGCCAACAAAACTAATAAAGTTCTTAGCTGTTTAAATCTTTTTTAATTTGAACTAATTATAGCAGAAGCCTAATTATCAAGAAAATAATGCAATAAATATTTTTTGAATTCAATTTTAAAGACAAACAATTTGGAGTGGCAGTGATCAGTTTCTTTCAATTGATACTTTAAGCAATTATTAAAGACATAAAAAAACAAATTCACCTTAAATCAAATATTGCACAAGTTGTTTATCACTTTAATAATTAGGCTATTATTTTAAATTCATTATTAAAAGAATATTTCAGAATATAAGCAACACTGCTTGCATAAATTTGATTTTATGCAGAAAATGGACTTAAAAATATAAATGGTTTTCTAGCAGCTGAACATTTTTAAAAGCCCTGAATCATCAAGAGTTAAAACCAGGACTAAAATAAGCCATCAGATTACTAAAGATAAAAGATCAGCAGCCCATGATAGTAGCAGCCTGGAATTATGACCTAAAAATGACCTAATGTACACCACCGGAAATAAACAAATAGGTAATAACTTATATCTACATGTCATTTCCTTCAGGTTTATTAGTTTATGTCTGGCCTTACGATCCAAGGACAATCTTAGTC